CAGTGAACAATTACGAGGACAGATTGACATTAAATTAAATTCAACTCCATTCACATTCTGTCCAATGATAGCGTAAAAGCTGGAGGGCAGGGTTTTTCCTTGGCTCGGCGAGTTGACGGTGCTTTTGTTTGGTGAGATTTGGGTTTTATTTTACGTGCGTGTATAGCTTTTTAATGCCCAGGAAACAGCCTGTTCGAAAGGAGGCAGACAAAAGTCTCACCAAATAACTTGTTCGAGAGATATCGTGAACGAAATAAAACCGAAAAAAGTGTTTTTCAAAAATTTCAAAAATAGTGTTCTATGAAACTTTTATCAGACTTTTGAGCTGGGAGAGCTCAAATGCATAGAAATATTATCTCTTTGAACTCAGCGAGCTCAAAATATCACATAAATTATATTTTGAGCTCAAAAAGCTCAAAAATGTCATAAGTACAATTTTAAGCGCCCAGGAATGGAATTAGCGGGAAGTTGCACGGATGGCCGTTAGGGTGAACCGTTTTTCTAATTTTTTACCTCTATTTTCATTATATCTATCTATAATTATTTATCCGAATTAATTATTGTTTTTACTCCTCAACCTAACTCCAATCTAAAATTTTGTATTGAGGATTGTATCCTGGTGAAACACAAATAAATATTAAAATTATTTAATATTCAATAGTTAGAATTCTTCACTTATCTTTTAAAATTATAATTTATAAAAAATGAATATTTATAAAATTATTGTTTAATTATTAGTGTTTAAATTAGCGCGCGTATTCGCTATCAGAGACGTCTGCAAATGCAGGTGGGGACGTAACATCATGATGGAATTTTTAAAAAATTTTGCTATTTCCTGACTCAACTTGTCAAACTGGTTCAAAAAATACATATGGTTCAAAAGTTTATATCTATATTAGTGTTACGTCCAAAACGTTGAACATAATTATTAATATTTATTTTGGTCCTGGTATTTTTCAACCATTAGACCGGGAACCCAGAAATATTGTGAAAGGATATTGGTATTTTCTTTTTCAAATAAATTAACTCACTGCAAATTTAAAAGTTATATAATATATTAAAATTAATAAAAGTTACGAAAGTTACAAAAGATAAATGCTTACAAAAATTCTATTATTTCAGATTTATATAAATAGCTTAAAATTTAACACATGTGAAACTACAATAAGTTTAACACATACTTTTATTGTTACGTCGACACACGTGGTTCTTTTGATCAATTAATATTATTATTTAACGTATTTAATTATTTATTTAATTTTACGTGAAGCTAAATAAAAAGTTATTTAAAATATTATTACGATTTTACTTTAAAACTGCAAATAAAAACTTATTCAAAAACACTGAATTTAAATTAAAATAAACTATTAAGCTGCGTGAGAGTAACCACGGTCACTGGCTTATTGGGCGATCCGCACACTTCGGGGTCAGGATGACGACAGAGAGTTCATGCGAAGTTCTCTTGGGGCTCGAATTTTCGGGCGTTTCCAAATTACTTATTAGGGGAAAACAGTATCCAATTACCTGTCTATTTCTCTTGGATTCTACCCTCTCTTCCGATTTTTCCAAGATGTTCGCTTGAACTCCCTTCCTTGGGCCCAGAGGGCATGATGTGCCTCTCTCTCTTACTTATAGGCTAATATATATCTATGTATTGGTCTGCGTGCAAGCACATTTACATGCACACAAATACATAGTTTTTATTTAACTAAGTCTTATATGTATTTTATTTATAATTATTACTAACTTATTTATTTATTTAGTTTTTTATAAATAATAATATTAATTTCTTATAATTATTCATTATTTTTACATAATTATTTATATGTAATTGTTGTTAATTTTTTATATTATTAATTTTTTTGGTAATTATTTAAATATTTTCTATTGTTTAGTTGTTAATTTCTATTTTTAGTAATTATTTAAGTATTTCCTATTTATGTTAATGTTATGTATTAATTTGTTGCTAAATTTTATTATTAATTTTAGTCTTTTAAAATTATTTTATTTTGAAAGTTTTAAATTTATTTTTCTCTTAAATTTAATCCTATTTAAACGTTTAAAAATTTCTAAAGTTCTTGTCTAAAAATGCTGTCAATACAGAGGGCAATAGAACTCCCATTTACTTGTGTATTTAGGATTTTTAATCTTTAAGAACTTGAGTTTGCCTAATGACGGGAAATTTTTCGGCGAGACCGGACGAGACACTTAATGCGTTTCTCATTATCAGTGTCTGCTGTAAATTTTATTTCTTTTAAAAATTATATTTTAAGAGAATAAAATTATATTATTCAGACAAATAAAATAATGTTAAAATGAGACCACGACGTAACATTAGGGTGATTAAAAAAAAAAACAAAACTTTTTTTTCTTCCAAACAGACTTAAAAGTTTCTTTTGGGTGTAAAAAAATCACTGTGAAAAGATGAGCCCTTCATATTACTATTATGTTTGTCTGCATCGAATTTTTTTAATTCCTATAAGAATAACATGGGAAAAATTATTTTTGCTTCTCCTGATTTTTATTGCTAGCCCAACGTGGGTCATAATAAAAATTTTTCCAACGTATTTTTGTAGAGAATTGAACGCTCTACAAAAAAGGTCTCTTATGATTTTTTCCGAAACCTATCGAATTGAAAGTTATTCGAGGTCAAAGTTCAATTTATCGCAAATTTGACTGTTTTTAATGCATTACAGTCAATTTAATGATTTTATTTCATCAAAAACCATCTGAAAAGAAGTATCGAAGTTATGTGAAAAAATCTCTTTTTACGGTTTTCTTTCGTTCACGATATCTCTCGAACGAATCAACTGATTTTGATCGGATTAGCGGCGATCAACGTGGTTTTCCAAGCTTAAGGTCGTATTAGTTTTTGGAGTTGATCGATAAAGCCATTTAAGAGTTATTCCAAAAAAACCACTTTTAATAAAATTTTTTTTTTTAGTTTTTTTGTCAAAATTCATCGTTAAAAATCATCGTTTTGGCATGGAAAATTAAAAAGTTCATGCTTATATAAGCCGAAATTTTTAATGAAAGTTTTACATTTAAAATTTATAAAGGGATAGAAACTGATACGTCATACGGAACAAATTAATTTTAAAAATAGAACTGCAGTCTATAGTTCGATAAAATTTTTCTTCCAGATTTAAAATATCATTTAAGAGGGCAAATCATGCATGAACAGTTCTTGTCAGCTGATATATGGAGTTTTAATCCTTTAATTTCTATTGGCTAGAACAGAAATGGACAGGTCTGATCAGGTCTGAGCGTATTTAACGCTTCAGACATGAACAGGCATGGAGAAGTCTGATCAGGTCTGAGCATATTTAATGCTTTAGACATGAACAGACATGAGCAGGCTTGATCAGGTCTGAGCGTATTTAATGCTTCAGACATGAACAGACATGAGCAGGCTTGATCAGGTCTGAGCGTATTTAATGCTTCAGACATGAACAGACATGAGCAGGCATGAACAGGCTTGATCAGGTCTGATCAGGTCTGAGCGTATTTAATGCTTCAGACATGAAGAGGCATGAACAGATATGAGCAGGCATGAACAGGCTTAATCAGGTCTGATCAGGTCTGAGCGTATTTAACACTTCAGACATGAACAGACATGAACAGGCATGGACAGGTCTGATCAGGTCTGAGCGTATCTAACGGTTCAGACATGAACAGGCATGAACAGACATGGTCAGGTCTGATCAGGCTTAATTTCAGGCCTGATCATACCTGAACAGGCCTGATCAGGTCGGCTTTGAGGTCTGATCAGATATGAACAGGTCTGATCAGTCCTGATCATTTTTTCCCGGGCGGTTAAATGGTTTCGGATGCAAGTCACTTGCTCTGAGATAGATGGTGGAGTAATCATGGCCTGATATTTTTGTTGGACTTTGAGAACAAACTCCGTGGCATTATCATTGGGCATCATTTTTATTCGGCTTATCTCCATGATCAACTGGTGGTCAGTAGCTGAACTGCCGAAGGCTTTTCGAAACTCTTCTTTAAATTGAGCGAAATTTGTCCATCGAAAATAGCTGGTATCTACCCATCTGGCAGCAGGGCCTTTTAAAGTGAAACTCACAACTTTGAGCAACTCAGATTTGGTCCAGCCTTCTCTGTTAGCTCTCACTTCGAGAGCGTTAACAAAATCGTTAGCCGACATTCCCGGCTGAGAAAAATATAAACCAGCCATTTGGAAACTGTCTGATGTTTTTCCAGCGATCATAACGTACCAACTGGTGTTGTAACGGAATGGAGGAATGAAATCCCGACATATTAGCCGGTGAGGAAAGGCGTGCCAACAGGCCTGAACTCGTCGTTATCAACCGACTGTTACGACAGCGGGGTGGAACCCATGGCTCTACTGTCTGGAAATGCTACAGGGAGTACGAAAACAGTTTCGATGGAAGAAGATGGACAGCTATTAAAAGTTCCTCCAAAAAGTGGAGGACGTTTTGCTCCCGTCACTATTTAAACCTACCGAGGAAGGATTAACTCTGCGCCGACCGTCGTGACTTGGCAAAAGAACAAAGAAGGAAAAAAGAAGGAAAGAGAACAGGTGCCAGCGGCACAATCTACTGAAGCCCAAAACCAGCCAAATAATGGTGGCTCTAAGAAACCGAGGAGGAAGAAGACAAGAACACAGACTGTGCTTGTGCAACCAGCTGAAAGGCAAACGTACACCGATCTCCTCAAGGAAATCAAAGCCAAGGTTAACTCGACAGAGACTGGAGTAGACATAAAGTCTATCAAACAAACGAAGCGCGGGGGCGTTCTTCTAGAAATGGGTCGCAAGACCGAAGACACTGCTGCTTTTACGGCTGAGATAAAAACAGCAACCGCTGACATCGGAACAGTCAGAAGGCTCACACCAAAAGCAAGATCAAGATCCTTGATTTGGATGGAATCTCTACGGAGAGCGACATTCGTGAAGCACTCAAACGTGACTTCATCGACAATGATCAAATATTCAAAAATTCGGTAGCTAATAGCGATACCATTGCTGCTGAACTCTGTTCAAATTTTTCATTCACAAAAAGAAAGAGAGAGATATTTTAGATTATATTATTAACGTTTAATAATGCCAAGGCACAGGCCGAACAATAGACTAATGAATGGAAGTTAATATGCTCAAACTTAATTTGACGTAGTTACATAAAATTTCTTCAATTAAAAATTTTTGATATTCAAAATTTTAAGATTTAGATAGTTTAAATCATTAGTACAATATATAAAGAAATCCAACAATCTTAATTAATTGATATAACAGGCGGTATAACTATTTGACTGATCTAATACACCACAGTAAGATGATTAAAGAAGTAATAAATTAAGTTTACCGTATCGTTATAAATGTATCTTTGATAGCTTCTCGAACTGAGTGTGCTTGAGCTTGAGACATTCTCCGTAAATTTCGAACTTCTTGCCGTAAATCTTTCGCTTTCTTTTGTAAGCCTCGGAGTTGATTATACAGTTCAGGCGTAAGTGCTAGATCTCTGTACATGTACGTGCCTGATTTTAGAGTCATAGGTTTCGGTGGTGGAGTAGGTTTATTTCGACATTTTTCTGTAAAAAAAATATGATAAATTATAATTTATAGAACACGAGTTGTATATTTTTTCCACTCTTCTTTGGCTGAGGTACCGAATGTCAGATAGTTGTTCAAGATTTTATATATGGCTATTGTACAGAATAGGGTGTGCCAAAAAATTGAATAATTTTCTTCTTATCAACATTTCTCGAAATTAAGAAAAAGACGCAAAAATAAGAATTCTGTCAAATCTTAAGTATTTAGTATTGATATTTAGAGGTCATGAATCAAAATTTTTGATTTTCCATTTAAAGCACAAGAAAATGATTTTTTTAATCTTAAAATTTGTTTGTAGTCTCCATTTTAAAGTAATGAAAAAAACGATACATGTTTTGGTGGGAAACTTGAAGCTGTAAAAAAAAGACCTCACAAGTTTTTGATAAATCCACTACTTCAAAAGTTATTCAAAATTAAAAATAAGTTCGAATATCTCACGACTCCTAAGGAATCTTGCAAAATTTGCAAGAAGATAATTTGTACCGAATAATCTACAATAATCTATCGAATGATCTAAAAAAAACACCAATATTGTTTTTGTATGAAGTTGATAGTTTTGCTGGAAAATTGAAATATTTTTAGACTTTGTCAAGAACTTAATTTTAATTTTGATTAACCTTTGAAGAAATGACTTTATCAAAAACTTATGAGGCCTTTCTTGTAGAGCATTAAATTCCTTCGGAAAATACGTCTTGCGCTTTTCATAATTTAAAAATAGAGACTAAAGAAAAAATGATGAAAATTAAAAAAATTTTTTTCCTGTGTTATTTAAATGGAAAATTCAAAATTTCGGTTTGCGACTTTCAAATATCAATACTAGGGGCTCAAAATTTGAAAGAATTTTTATGTTTGCGTCTTTTATAGAAATTTCAAGAACTTTTGAAAAAAAAAGTTAGTCGACTTTTTGGTAAACCTTAGTACAGAATCAACTAGTTACAAACCGCGCTGACGTTACAGCAATAGCAACAACCAATGATAAGTAGAAATAATACGCATAACTATCCACAGATTCGGTAGAATCTGGCGCCAAGTTCCGTTCTCAAGCCAGACTACCGAGTGTGTATATAATACCGTAAACAGAACGGTTTTTCAAGGTTACAAATTTTTTTTCCAATTTATTTTGATTTTTTTTTTATATGATATTTTATAATAGTAGTTCATGCTTTTTATTACGCGTATTACTTGATTATTGACAATTATCTTTATAATTTCTATTTAAAACTATTAAAAATAATCAGCACAAACTATAGCGACCCAGATTTTTAGATTTTAACTTTTTTCTTATGTAAAAAGCGGACGGCCAGAGACTAAATAATATAAGGATGCATGCCAATCTTATAATAGATGGGAAACTACAGTGGGAAAAAGATATTTGACAGTTTGCAATTACACACGCCAGGCGGCGCAAGAATAACTTTTACATGAACTATAGCTTAAAGGGGATAGTTTGCCACCGAAAATGCATTAAATTAAAATTGCCAATTTTTACTATAATTACAAAAAATACTGAAATCCAAACAAAAACAGTTTCACTGTAAAAAAATCGCGCCAAGTCCACGTTCATAAGACTATTAAGAAAAAAAAATTTTATTTCTTTACAAAAAGATATAAAATTAAAAATAAAAAAATCCAAGTACCCGATATGGTTGTATATGATTTTCGGAAATTAAAAAAAATTTTTTTGTAAATTTAAAAATTAAAAGAAACAATTTTGGAACGTACTTGGTGTGCGTCATTGTGTACTTTGTAACAGGGTAAATTACCCTTAATCGATAAGTCGCCAGAGATCGATTTTTCGACTAGCATTTGAGCGCATCGATCTTCGGGCCTAGAGAGAGATAAGGAGGGGGTATTTTGGGGAGTCGTTAACTAGGTGAGCCATGCGTTGTGTCGGGAGAAGTAGTGTACAAACAAGTAACATCGAAGAGTCCAAGAAGAAAGCCCGGGAGTTCTTCAAGCCAATTTACACCAGGTATTGGACTTTGATAGTGATGAGCCTTGGGGCCAAATACTCGGCTCATCAATTATTCTACTTCTCATTTATTAATTTATTTTTGGTAATTCAATTTTTTAATGATAATTCGCTTAATAATAATTATTTAATTTAATTGATTTGATTCAGTGTGTAGCATTCGTTAGCATTGTGAGCATTCTTCTTAGGGATTTTATACCCGAGGAATGTTCTAGACCTCTTGGGTTTATAGTTCGTGAGAAATTATTTGTTAATGTGGCCAGTTAATAATTATTAATATCCTAGTTTGGCTTAAATAAATTTATTTTATTGATAGAACATTAATTTAATTTCTGAATATCGAGAAATATTTCAATCGGCAGCTCACGACCAGTCAAGCGTCGGTTGCATACCCGAGGTCAAGCTTGCTACGCAGTTACGAACAACGGCGTCCATTTTTAGCGCGCAAATTCCTTTGTGAATTTTAATACGCAGTAAATTGTAAAATTAACAACTGAACTATTATTACAACTTATAACAATTGAATTATCATTTATTATTATAATTTATTATTGGAAATTATTTACATAATATTATTCATTTGGAAAACTATTTTATTTAATGAAAATTTAATTATTGAGAAATTGCGACGCAATTAGAATTTGAAACACCCGTGGATAAATTTTCGGAATTTATTTTACACCGAGATAAATTATTGTTAATTAATTAGTCGGCAGTAACAATAATAATTAATTATCTAGTCGGAAATTCCACGTGGTTGATTTTCTTAAAAGTGATACTCGGTTTATTTTTATGTAAATTAATTCACAATTGTAATTTCATCATCATATAAAAATTCACCAGAATTTATTTAATTACGTGGATATTATAGTTGGCTAAATTAATCGATGAAATTTCATGATAATATTTTAAATAGTTAATAATTAAATTTACCAGAAAAAATGGCGACAAAGCGTCCGTCGAACGTTCTGGAATTTCCTGTGTTCTGAGTATTAAGCTCGCGGCCATTTTGGAAGAAGTTTAGGCGTCGGTTTAGTCCGGAAATTTTAAGAAGTAAATTATTAATTGTGAGAATAATTTCTGGTTTTTTTTTTATTGCGAGCTAATGACTGAATAATTTTAGAAAAAATTAACGTTGTAAATTTTAAAGTTAATTTTGTAATAATTATTATAGTCAAAAAGTAAAGTTAGAGTCAGTGTGTGTGTGGAGATTCGTGGGTTATGTGTGTGAAGATCGTGCGGGTTAAGTGTGTGCGATTGTACGCGTTCTCTACTTGTTGATGGTTTGCCGAGTAGGGTAATCTGGACTTGGTGCGACATTTTCTGCTTGTTGATGGTTTGCCGAGCAGAGGACTAGCATTGAGTTGAGGCGCCGGTTTTAGCCCGAAATTCTCGAGTAGTTATAAGCGGTAGTGTTGAGTCGGGAATAGGTAGAGTAGCGTGTGGCTCCCTGTGGGAGGCGTGAATTTATATTCGTTGTGATTGTCACTAAAGTACCATTCAAGAGTCACGTTGAGGACGCTTAAGTCCATCTGACTCCGGGGTGGGAAATAGTTGTAGTAGCGACTTTCCTGTGGAAAGCGTGAAGTAAGAAGTCGTAGTGTTAAGTAGTTGTAAGCGAGTAGTGTACGTGCAAGTGCACGAGTTGTTATTTCTTTATTTTGTTCATAAATTTTTGGTACCGTTGTTAAATAAAAATTTATTTCTTACAGATCACCTTCCTCCACTCTCTCTCTCTGCAGATTATTAAGCTCAGCTCTGGTTTCCTATTCCAGGAACCGAGTTAAAAAATCCTGGTGGCGCCCTTGTTTAATTTAGAATCATTTTGTTATTTTGTACTGTTTTATTTAAATTAATAAGGGGCCAATGAGTGGTAAGTAAAGCAACTCGTTACAACTTCAATTTTTTTTCAAAGTCCTAGTAGATAAATTTTAGGAATTTCATAAAAAGTAAAATATTTCGTAACTATGCACACTAAATACGTTCCAAACTTATTTCTTTTAATTTTTAAATTTACAAAAAAATTTTTTTTAATTTCCGAAAATCATATACAACCATATCGGGTACTTGGATTTTTTTATTTTTTATTTTATATCTTTTTGTAAGGAAATAAAATTTTTTTTCTTAATAGTCTTATCAACGTGGACATGGCGCGATTTTTTTTTACAGTGAAACTGTTTTTGTTCGGTTATACAATAACGGTTGTCTTTAGTCCTCGAGCGTCGTCGAAGCTGAAGGCTCAAATAAATAACCTAACTCAATTTTTTCAGCACCCAACAACCAGTAATTGAGAGGTTAGGTAATTTTAAAAATACAACTGTTTGAGCAGACACTTTTGAAGGGGTTTACATTTAATAAATCCACCCCAAAGTTGATTTTTTTTTAATTCCATTTGAAGTGATTGATTTACGCTGTAATTTTAACAGCGTCTTAACTAAAAAAAAAATTAGGAAAACGGTTGACCCTAAAGGCCATCACTGCAACTTCCCGCTAGTTCCGTTAATACATGGCCGTTTTTTTTTTTTGAGCTCTTCTAGATCAAAGATACAATCTGTGTGTTATTTTGAGCTCTACAAGCTCAAAATGATACCTTTTCTGTGCTTTTGCGCTCTTTGAGCTCAAAAGCCTGATAAAAGTTTCATAGAACACTATTTTTTGAATTTTCAAACCGCAATAACTTTTGAATGAATGAACCAATTTTTACGCGGTTAGCGGCATTCTACGGAGTTTTTTAAGCTTCATAAAGAATTTCTAAGTTTCAATTGGTCAAACTAGAAATTTCGGAGTAATTCCGAAAAAACACTTTTTTCGGTTTTCTTTCGTTCACGATATCTCTCGAACGAATAAACCAATTTTGACCGGATTGGCGGCAATCGACGTGGTTTTTCAAGGTTGAGAGCTGAATGGTTTTTGGAATCGATCGGTCGAGCCGTTATTCCAAAAAAACCACTTATATAAAAGTTATTCCAAAAAAACCACTTCTGAAAAAATTTTTTTTCCTATT